TCTGATGTATGAACTATATATATAATTGTAAAGTTTCATAAAAATCCAATCAGTAGTTTTTGTGTACTAAGCTGTATAAGTTACTATAGTTATTTGGCTATCCCACGGAAACTCTTTTTAATTTTCCGGGATGAAAAGTAGCTGATTTGTTATAGTCATGTATGAACTATATTATTGTAAGGTTTCATTAAAATCCAATCAGTAGTTTTTGTGTACTAAGCTGTATAAGTTGTTATAGTTTTTTAACTATCCCACGGGAACTCTTTAATTTTCCGGGATGAAAAGTATCTAAGATGTTGCACGGGGATATAAGGTACCACCATGCAAAATTTTATTTTAATCGGTCCAATAGATTCGGAGATTAGCCCGTACAAACAGGAAAACAGATAAACAGCTCGCTCGGGTTCGTCCATACCTACGAATATGTTGTATTATCTCTTTAACCATTTGTCCAAATTATATGCAGTAAAAGGGAAAAGTCTTTTATTTTAAACATTTTAGACGATAAATTTACTTATTTTGATAAGAATTCATAATTGTTGATACTCTGACCAATAAACATGACCTACCGATTTAAATTATTTTTTTAATATAAAAAACTACTTATTGTGACTTAAATATAAAAGTTAGACATATGCTGTCGCTGACTTTTTTGTAGGCATTATTAAGCTCTACAACTTTTCTCTAGAACATAATCATATATCTCTCACCGTTAATGCAGCGTTCGTAAGAAACCTTTTCGTTCGACCGTTTTTTCTCCGACTTACTTTGCAAATCCGACTACCACGAAAAAGCCTTTTCATTCTTCGCGTTAATATATAGCCTATGACACTCAGAAAGAACGTGGCTTTCTATTGGTAAAAGAATTCTGAAAATCGGTTCAGTAGATCCAGAGATTACCCCCTACAACGTCACAAACTCACAAACTCACAAACTTTACCTCTTTATAATATTAGTATAGATATATATATATATATATATATATATATATATATATATATATATATATATATATATATATAATATCATAATATTAGTGTAGATTACTTATATAATATGAAAAAATGTATTTCAAATAATTTATTGTTATAACTTTTCATATTATTACATACAATATTTGTCCAATTTATATTATCCACAGCTATTGGCGACAATGCAAGTACCACTAAAATTTATATATTGTCAGCATGACAGCAAATACAAAAAGCCTCTAATAATAATAATTAGTTATAAAAAATGTTAAAAATTGCGTTTTTTTTTAAATTGCACCTTAAACCTTATGTAAATGAAATAAATAAATATATAATAAAATAAAAAAAACCCGACTGCATAAAAGCTAACTAATAATATGAAAACAAGTTCACGATAGAATATAAGTATTATGCAGTCAGAGACATACACGTTTCATCCTTGCCGCAAGATGCACATATATAATTATTCTCGTATGTACATACGTCTCCGACTTCATAATTCTATATTCCATCGTGAGCTTAATTTTTAATTGAAAGAGTTATGACTAAGGCTTTCAGTCTCGTTATATTTACGAGTCCCGGGAAAAAAAACGATACTCGGTGTGGTCTCGAAATTCCCGGGAAAAACGAGACTTTCGAGACTACTCCAAAAATGGTTTCATACTCATAGGCTGGGCAGTTAGGCATTCGATAGAAGGTATTTCAATAAAGTACTTTATTAAACATACTCTCCGAACTCAATACAAGGAAAATTAACAATTATTAGGACCTTACATATGAAATTGGTGTTTTTTATGGAAAAAGAAAACGAAAAAAATATTTAAATTATATATTTAATCAGTCACACAGTATGTACCATTGTCATCTACGCACTTTCGCTATTTTATAGGTAGTTCATTGATTCGTCTGCTCACAAAATTGTGGGAGCGATTATCAATAAAATCTCCGAAGGTGGCTTTAATTGCCTCATCGGAATTGATTTTTTTCCCTGCAAGAAATTGTCCATATTCCGGAAAAAGTGGTAATCTGTTGGAGCAAGGTCCGGGGAGTATGGCGGTATCGAAGACATTCCAATCACAGCTCATCTAATCTAGCGACTCTGTTATGCAGTATGTGGTCTAACGTTGTCCTGAAACAACAGTGGGTTAGAGCAATTGACCAGTCTCGGTTTTTAAATGGCTAGCTTTTCCATCATGGTTTGAAATCGTTGTAAATACAGATAATGTGACAGTAATCGTCTGGCCCGCTCTAAGGAAGCTGAAGTGGATGGCACGGGGCACTAGCGCTGGTCCACCAGACACTTACAAGTAGGTACTTTTTTTGAGTCAACTTCCGCTTGGGGCAGGATTTCTCCTGGGTTCAACCATTATGACGGGCGTTTCCGATGATTGTATAGAATTCAAAATTCCCTCATTATTGTGACGGTTGAGTAATGTAACGCAGCACGACGCGTGTTCGTTGGTGTGCGTCTCTCTATGCGGTGGTACCCATTTTTCGAGCTTTTTCACTTTTCCAATTTGTTTAAATTAAAATTGTTTTATCACTCACACCGAAGCTTGTCGGTAACTCTGACGTGGTTTTGCTATAGTTGACCTCCGGCTGTCCACGAGGTTTGTTCTATAGGTCAAAATTTCCAGAACGAAAACTTTGGAACCAAAACCATCTTTTCTTTTACACTAGCTTCCTCATATACATCATTAATCTTTCGAGCTGTTTCTGCAGCGGCGGTGCCACGGTGGAACTCGTATTCGTAAATGACGCTACTTTAACGATATTTTAAGCTTTCCGTATTGTAAACAGAATGAATGATGTCAAAGAAAAATCAAAAGGCGTGACAACAAATGAATATCTAAATTCGAAAAACAAATAAGTACACAAGCCTAAATTTGAAATAAAGAATTTGGAATTCCCACAGAAATCTTAATAATATTATTAAGATTTCTGTGGGAATTCCTAACCAAAAGCCAGATATTTGAGATCAAAGTAGCCAGTTCGACAAAACGCCAATTTCATAGTAAGAACCTAATATTTATGAGATTTTTTTTCATTTTTACAGTAGGCACGTAAATACAAAGAGTATTTAATATACATACTTTCAGACAGAGAGTATCTGATTTTATTACAAAATTAACCCGCGTTAGAAAAAGCCCTCTTTGCTTCTACGCTAGTATTAGATAGGGGATAAATATTAAATAGCTATATAGCCATGGTTTAGTAATTTCCTCTGTGGTCTTATCCGAAGTTTCACTTTACAGTGCTACCACGTAAATGGAATAAAAATAAATAAATACTGGTGATTTAGTACATTTTTGAATAATCTTAATTATTTGACTTATGTCTCGAAAGTCTCGTTATTCCCGGGACTGGCGGTAGAAGTCTCGAGTATCGAAAACTCGAAAAAATCGTCGAGACTCTCGAAATTTTCGAGACCAAGACTCCCGGGATGAAAGCCCTAGTAGGTATATAAGGAATAAAAATTCGTAAAATGCCCCACATGCCCAGCTATCCCCGGGAAACTCGAAAAAAAATTAACATTAATAGATTCTACGACAAAAAAATACACAAGCAATGTTATACTTTACGGGAATTCCAACTTTTATAATTTTTTCTCGACTAGTCAAATTCAAAAGTTGGAATGTTTACGGCGACATTGTATAAATAATAAGCGTCAAATTAAGAACTTAAGGACACCATTTTTTTTGTTTTTTTCCCGAAAAGACATTGGTGTAATCAGTTTATATAAATTTGGTCAATAAAGTAGACTTCTTCAATGATAATCGAAAAAAAAATGAGTTTACAAAGTAAAAATTATCGATTTCTCCAATTTTTAAATTTTTAAGTGTGTTTTTACAGGACGACCATACAATGTTTTTATTTTTTCAAAGAGTAGAGTCCAAGACGAAAAAAATAAGCCCTGTCTGAAAATATAACGATTTTTTTTAAATGTAAACGTCCACTTGAAATTGGGGGTGATTTTCAGCCTCTCGAGACCATAAAACTTTGACTTTTCTCGGAAATGGCTAAATATTTCAATTTCATTTTTTTTTATTTATTGCGTATTTCGAAAATTACATTCCCCTAGTTTCATGAAAATCAAAAGATTCTTTTAGAAATTAATAATAAAACACCAAGAAAAAGTTAAAAACCGAGCTTTCTGCAAATATCTCGAAAACCTTGAGGTTATTGTAAAAAGCGTTATTTATAAAAGTTGTAGATTTTTACTAGAACTACAACTTTAGTAGAAAACATTTTTGTATAGAACGTCACAGTAGACCGGAAATTGAAAGAACTATTTTTCAACGCTTCGCGTCCCCCCATTTCTCGGGGGTAGCTGGGCATAGTGGGCATTTTACGAATTTCTATTCCTTATTTATTTATCTGCTAACATTTTAAAATCATAAAACTTCAGGTTTTCGATATATTTTTTTCTATTAAAAATAAACGGATTCTGATTGGTCTATAGTCATAACTCTTTCAATTAAAAATTAAGCTACTAAAAGTAAAGCTCTAGCGATATGCTTGCGACTCTCGAAGCAACGAAGTAAAAGTTTTTTTAACACAATATAATGTTACAAAACAATACCTACATATAAACATAGTACTTTGCCTCGTACTGATAACCTTATTTGTTTTTTGCAACTTCTCATAATTATCATAAATTATATGGAAAATCTCATAAACTATGTATATAGAACTTTATAGCAAAATTTCAAAATATAATTTCGGTAAAGTATAAAGTGTAACGACATTAGTTTTTATTTTGATATATTTTATCTATAAAAGTATTTATTCGGGAACCGAGATAGGTTTGGGAAGTAGTAGAAGTCAGCCGGCGTGGCGAGCGGTCACGTGGATCGTTTACAAAATAAATACTCATATCATTTATAAAATATAAGCGAAATCGCGAGGACATTTTCGTTGTAAAGGACAAATGATGACATCAGTTAATTAGTAGACATTTATTATCAACATGCATGTATTTTGAATTAAATATGTAAAATAATTGCAGTCAATAACGAGGACTAATTAGCGAGCGGACACACACACGGGACGTGCCCGAGCTGTGTGCTGCCTGCCGGCACAGCTCGGCGCGGCGACGGTGCGGCGTGCATGGTGAGCCCGTGCCCGTGGCGGCGCGGTGCGGGGCCGGGGTGCGATGCGCGGGGCGCGCGCCGCCATTGGCCGCGTGCACGTGGCCTGATCTCGCACCATGGCAACGTGCCGCGCCCGCCCCCCCGCCGCCCCCTCGCTAGATATTCGCGTAAGGAGCCGACAGCCGTCCTCTGAGTCACAGTCGCAGTCGCGCCGCATTTCCGCGCGTGTCTCGTTCAGAGTGTTCGTAATTTCGTATAAAAGATCGACTGCCGGTCGATACGTACGAATCCTTACAGCGCGAGCTACGCAATTGTTGCGAGCTGACAAACTTGGATTGCGAGTGTCGCCTGTGTTGTCCCGTGGGAGCATTGTGCGAGCCGAGCCCTGTCTCTACAGACCGACAGAATAACTGAAGGCGCTTCGGCGAGGCTTTGTGCTCTCATCGTGATCTTCATTATTTATTAAGTAAGTACATAATTCCAAACTTGTGTCGAGTAGATGTGATCTCTAGACTACGAAAATATTAAATTCAACCAGGGCATCCTACTATTCTACGCTATTTTTTTCTCACAGATTTTCAACTGTGAACTCTACCTTAGTGAGGAAATATTTAAGAGCAATTTAAATGTTTAACAGAATATAAATTTACAATAAAAATAAAAGATATGCATTATTTATACGTTCGATAAGCATGGAGTGGTTAATGCGTACAATGAATAATAAAACTATAAATAACATCACTTTTGCCATTGTTTGAAATGTACAAGAAAAAATAATGATTACATTACAATCATCTGCAATCTAATAAGTACATCATGAACAAATGTGGTACGTGTATTATTTTGCCGTTGAATGCAAACTGTAGGGGACGCGACCTACAACAAATACCTACTAATATAGTGTAAGTTATGTACATCTGAAACCAAATGAAATGACGTAAATGAGGCACGATAAATAAAATCGAGCGTGAGATCAGCTCGCCGTCGATCAGCTGATCGGGCCGCCGTCTGTTGTGTGTCCGCGAGTCTCGCTGCCTCACCGGTCACCCGCGCCGGCGCCCTGCGCAGTGCGCTTAGCACTGCAAGTGCCGGCCGCCGGGCTCCCGCCAGTAAACGCCCTCCACTTGTTATCGATTCTATTTTACGAAATTTCTCTTCTCTTCCCGAATATAAATTGAAAAATATCGATCCTATGAAAAAATTGATAAGGACCGATATTGTAGGAAATTCGATTTAAACAACTTCGCTTATAATAAATTTCGCGTGAAATCCATACTAATATTATAAATGTGAAAGTGTGTTTGTTTGTTTGTTCGTCTTTCTTTCACGTCGAAACGGCCTGGCGCATTCGCGTGATTTTTTGTGTGGAGATAGTTGGAGGGCTGAAAAGTGATATAGGCTACTTTTGACCGCGGGAAATTATCTCTTTCCTACAGGAAAACACGTTATAATACAATCCAAAATAATTTTACTTATCAGAATTACTTGCAACTTGGTATAAATGGTCTTCAATACAATTAAATACATATTTTAGCATTTTCTGAAATTCATCTCATAAGGGCGTAAAATAGCGGATGAAAGTTTGTATGAAACCTACCGTTTTAGAGTTTTTTGTAGTTTTAGCGCGAGCGAAGCCGCGGGTTCTGCTAGTTGAAAATAAACGTGATAATATAATGATAAGATTTTACCCCCTCCTTTTCTCAGGTATAAATCGAAATATATCGATTTTACAAAAAAATTGATAAAGACCAAAATTGTAAGAAATTTGATTTTAAACGACTTTGTTTATCGCAATATTTCGCGGAAAATTGGAAATAAACGAGTTGTTCAATAAACAAAAATCCACCTCTTCTTTTAGGGTATAAATCCAAAAATATCGATCCTAGGAAAAAAATGACGAGAACCAAAATCATAGGAAATTTAATTTCAAACAACGTTTGTAATAACTATTTTTCTTCAGCAGATGCTATCAACAGTATATTATCTAGTATAGTTTGGAGGTAAATAGCGCGTGGTATTGTTTGTCGGCAGCGGGCGACGTGACGTCACCGAGCAGCTGACGGCGCGCTGTCGGCGCGGCGGTAGGCTTACTAAGTAACTGTATGCCTAAATCAATAATTCTGTACACTACGTTGCCACACATCGTTTGATGTCACCGCGACAGTTGCGGTTGCATTCATTCAAAAATTCCTAAAACAAGCCACGAAATTTCCTCGCTAAGTTACAATATATCCTCTTTATTACATAAACGTTTTATCTAACAATCGGGATGTATCGAAATAGAATTGTATGTAGATAAATGATAAGTCTACAGCACTGAGATGATCCGAGATAACGCTTGATTGCAACTTGCGCTAAGCTGCCGAGGTTTTTTATTACCAACTACATATATTGTAAGACATAGTAAGTACATAACCAGCTACCACCAGATCAAATTTCATTACAATCTGTCCAGTGGATTTCACGTCATTCGTTCCCAGACAGACAGACAAAAATTCTAAAAATTAGATTTTGTCTCTATATCCATAATAATGACTACCTATTTTAAAAAGTTTCAAAATATATTTAATGTACAGATTCGACTGAGTTAGTTTGTTTTTATTTTAATTACTCATTTATTTCAGGCAATATTTACAAAAAGATCTTAAATATGTAAACAGAGGCTCATAGCATAATATATACCTTAAAACTAACATATATTAATTATAACTATTATAATTTATTATTAGTATAGATAATAAAGGCTCTTTTTATGTCTGTTATATATTTTTAGTGCCCCGGTGGTGTAGTGGCTAGCATGTACGGCTGCACACCCGGAGGCCCTGGGTGCGAGTCCCGGGTCGGGCCAAGGCTTTCTGTATAGTAAGCCTCAGTAGCAGCCCGGAGTTGGGAAGTTGGCGATGTTTCACTCCCGTGCCTCGGAGAGCACGTAAAACTCTGACTGGTCGTGTCGAGCAGTCGTCCCACCGGAGTACGAGAGTGACAGGAATAGAGAGTGCACGTTATGTCTGCACTATAATATCTCCTGCGCAGTTGGCCAGTCTCAATGAGATTGGCCGCCGTGGCCGGAATCGGTCAGGAGAACATCATATTTTTAGTTATTTCGTTATATATTTACATATTATGCAGATAATAATAATTATTATTTAGTTTTTTCTCGTCCGAGATACGGTTTTTATTTGTATCTAAAATGATAAGAGTTTAATTTTTAAATATAATTACTGTTTAACCAAAAAAGTACACCGAATTCAAAATTGTTAAATTCTTGCTCCTTCTTCGGTGATTCTTTTTAAATTTCCATATAAAAAAGTATATGTATTTATATGCAAAGTTGAACTGACTTACGCGAATTCGACTTACACGGTTATCGCTCGGTCCCACCTATCGCTTAAGTCCGGGGTATTACTGTACTCTACATTGCAGTTTTTGTATTTTTTCTCAAAAATGAGATATTTTCCCGCGGTAAAAAGTATCCCATATGTTGACCCGGATAACCAGCTATCACCATACCACATCTCATCAAAATCCCTCCAGTGGTTTTTCTGTGATGCGGTAACAGACAGACAAAAATTCTAAAAACTATAGATTCGGACTCTGTATCGATAATAATGTCAATTTCAATCAGATTTTCCATAAAATATTTAATGTACAGATTCGGCTTAGTTACAAATTTATTATATGTATAGATTAATTAACATACCGTATTTTTTACGATTTTTTATTGCAAAAAATGCGTTTTCTTACTTACTATTTGCAAAAAAAAAAAAGTTAGTGGAAATATTTTTCCATGGCCTTGCTTATAATTACTTATACACAATATTAACATATTACAAGGTAGGGACGATACAAACGATTATATGTATAGATATACATACTATAGTTTAGTTTATACTATAAAGTATACACTATACAGTATCTGTGTACTGTTGAGAACAAATTATCGTTCGGTTACGCCATTTCGTGATGAAAACCTTTCCAGCTGCGGCAGAGCGGCGCAGTGGGCAGTGGGCACACTGACCAAACTCGCTACTAATGCTATGAATTAAATAAGCAGATAAGTCTCGATAAATTACAAACATTGTAATGATCAAATACTTTTGAAAACGTTTCCTCTTTAAGAATATAATATTATGTTTACTAATCTTAGATAAAAACCATATTGCAAGGTTATTTAAATATTAGCTATTAATGTTCACAACTTCACACATGTATGAGCTATCTTTTGCCGCCTCACGTCCGACAACGACGCTACCTGTAACTTGTAAGCGCTCGTTACTCGTAGGCTGCGTCCTGCTCCGTCCTTACTCTACAGTGGTATTATTGTCAAAATATGTCTGTCTGTCTGTCATTTTAGTAAAATAGTAGTAAAATGTCGCCACTCATTGTCACGAAATAGATTATAGAAGTTAAGTATACAAAGTTCTGGTGAGTTGAATATTTTTGTTACATTTTTATCCGACTGCGCCGGAAGGAGGGTTATGTTTTTCGATTGTATGTATATATGTATATTTCTTTGGCGCGCTCTTTAGCCTAAACGGCTTGACGGATTTTTATTAGTTAGATTCGTGTTAATTATAACATTAGAATGGTCGAGTTTTGGTGCCATCAACTTGTTTTTAACTTTTTAGTTCGTTTTTTACGCAGTCGGGTCTTATATTTTTGTAAATATTTTTTGTATAATGTAATAGTTGTTATTGTTATTAAATTATATAATTTTATAAGATTTTATTTAACTTGCAATGTTTATTTGTTTGGGTCAAATCTTGGAACTAAATTTTAAAGTAGTAATCAAACTCTCAACCGCTCAACGCTCACGTTTAGTTTGAATGACAATGCATGCTAAGCTAAGTGACGTCGAGTAAGTAAGTGACGAAGCATGAATATAGATATCAAATGAAAGGGTTTGCTGAGAAGAATACGAATAAAATAAAAACTAAAAATAAGGTTAATCTATTTAAGTAGATAAACAAGAATACAATATGTAACTTGATCTTGACATATAATTCTAAAAAATTTTTTTTATAAAATAGGTAAATCACGCGACAAGCTTTTATATCATATAAATTGTACAATGTAATAAATTGATGTGTTTGATTTAATTTAAAGTTTATTTTCTTCTTTAGAGTGCATTTAAATAAAGGCTTGTTTTTTTTAATATTCTTTTACTATTAATTTTTTTTTTATTGAATATGCATATCATGTCACCTATATATTCTGTTCCGTGGAATCGATTCATCATAATAGAGTCCGACTTAACAAGCTTGTTCATGATATGAACAAGTAGGTAGATAACAACTGATATTGAACTAACTAAAAATGACTAAATACTTAACAATAATAACTTTTATTTAAAGATAAGAAATGTGATTA